CTGACTTCGCTTCATTGAGGAGACAGTGACAGAAAACAGAGAAGAGCAGGTCTGATGGCGCAAAAGGAAATTTATACCCCCATCTGATTTATGTCTTTCCCTCAGAGAAGCATTTATCACCATTAGTGTTCAATAACCTGAGTTAATGCTCGTTAGGAAGCGGCGTGCCAGCAGGCATCTAAGGCCTGTCGCCAGAATTTCTTATTTCAGGAATAGACACTGACTAAATGTGCAGTGGATGGTTGTAGAAGAGGGATGGAGGGATGACTAAATAAGACTAAAAAACTGTTTCTAATAATAATGCAACAACCTCAGTCGGTTCACATTGCAGATTTGGATTTGGATCTCTACCAACCAATAATGACAGTTTGAAACCATTGCATGTGTGAAAAAAAAATATCCCTACTAATTTAGTTTTATATATTAAATTATTATATTTTGTGTTAGTAAACAGATTTTTGACTCATTTCAATTTCCTCTGATATAATTTAGTGAATTCCAAGCAGAGCAAAAAAATTCAAACTCAAAAGAGTTTGAATGAAAATTTCCAAACCATGACAATACTTCTGGCGTTGCAAGAAATCATGGCAATACAATCGCAATGATTTCAGATTGACTTTTTTTTTTTGTCTGAATGATATATATAAACACCTTTCATTTTGTGCTGTAATCTTATTGAACCTTTTTGCATGTCAGTACAGGGAAAGAGCATGCAGGTTTAGAGCATGTGCAAAAGCACTGTTGAATAAAAACAACAACTAACAAACACGACCAAGTCTAAATTCATTTAATATAAAAGTCCTTCCATTCACAGTGATAATGAACCAATGATCAGGAAAGGACGGAGGTCTGGCACTAAAATTTGGGAAAATTTTTTTCAGCTCAATATTTTTTTCTTTGTGATGATTTTTGATGTTAAGCGCTATTTAAGGAAAGTTAACAAGATGGGCAACATGGTACGCTAAACTGACATGTTTTAAGCTGTTGTTTATAAAGCTAAAACAAGATTTATTTTACTAAAGGTTTAAACTAAAGTAAACTAATATAATATTTTTTATCATATGCCCATTACATTCTGTTACCAAAATATGATCAAACTTTATTTAATAGGCGTACCCTCACGTCTGCTAACTGCTAGCTCAATCAAAGAAGGTTAAGCATCATTTAACAAAAGATTATTATTTCTAAATTAAGCAAATCATTTAATAAAATATAATTTTTCCAAATAGCGTTTTATTTAACTCTTGGACTTGCATTGTGTTTTAGTTTGAACACATTCCAATTGCTCTAAATTAGTTAAAAGTAAACTTGACCACAATCCAAATTCTTCAAGATATATTTTTATAATTTTAATATTCTCAAACATAAAATCCTTGCTGAACTTTGAAACAGTGTTTCATTATATTCATTATGGTTTTCAACCATGTTTTTTTCTTCTTCCTTGTATACATAGCAGCTTAGTTTATTTGAGTTTCACAAGTTTAGTCAACAGTTTTTGACTGAAATATGTCTGACCCTGGGGCTGAATGATTTTTGTTAATTAACTCTTATATTTTGAAAGAAGCTGTGGTGATTATATTCCTTATATGTGCAGTTATCTGTTTGACTATGAATGGAGCTTGATTCACATTTTCGATGGTTCTGTTTATTTGATTAAATAACATATTTGGACAATAAATATATAATAATTGCACAGCACCCGTGATTTAGAAAACTGTTACAAGCAGGCAATATTAGTAACAGACTTAACAAAAGTTATGGAGAAAAACTAGCACCTCCATTTCACACTAAGGTTAAAAAAAATTACCTGGAGGTACTGTACTTGATCCCTGTAGTACACACATGTTTAATAGCACAATTAGCAGAGGCATCCCAGTGGGAGGAAGACTTGCAGCATAAACAAGACTTATTGGAGTAATCGAGTTTCATTGCTGTCTTTTGAAACACCCAAAGGATGACATGATGGAACTAACTACAGAAAAATGGGTATTAAACATTATCGCACATGGTCAGTGATCTAATCAATACAACACAATAAAATATGGATAGTTGATAAAGTGACCTCTAAATCATTTGCACAAAAGAAAATTTATAATATGACAGCTTAATCAATAAATGGTGTCTTTTGTTGGTATGGTGCTGAACCTGAATTAATCATTACAGTTCTGGTGCTTAAAATGAGCAATACTAATTAGCTGGGGTTAAAGACAATAAGCTTTAAGACAGGTTATGACAGGCTTTTTATCTGAGTACACATTCAAAGTTGCCTTACAGTAGAAAGCTAGAATTTTTGGATAGATAAGATAGTAGAAAGCAAAGCCTGGAGCAGATGTGTTGTACCCATAAAGAAAAATGCAGAAGACTCTGTAGCTACTGTACATCGCTTCAGCATAAAAAGGGTAGGAGACAGTGTGTCAGACTGCTGACAGTAACTCATCCTCCCCTGTGTAGCTGCCAAACAAATTCTTCTTCCCAGCAGTCTCTGCTCTTGGTTTTGTTTTGCTTTTTGCTCACATCTGAACTCAAAAAAGATCTTTCCTGCTTCAGGGATCACTCGAAGAGTAACGGAACATCACATTTCTCTACAGTCTAGTATCTAACAGCCTCTATTCCATTAGAGCCCTTTGGTACTCTGAAAAAAAAAAGAATTTTTATGTACCATGTCAAATACAGCAGCTGAAAATTGCCTCTCTTCGAAAGTGCAAAATACACTTACTTCACCAATGGAAATGGAATATATACAAGCTTGAAACACCTACCACCTTTTTGAAAGCCGACACAGTGTACAGAAATATGGTAACATCCGAAATAGAAGCATTGAAAGGTAGCAATTTAACAGCCCTAACTGATAATCAGGATATGTACAAGTTTTAAACTTTGACATGCTTTATTATTCATAAATGGTCAAATTTTCTGTTCCCTCTGTGTTCAAACGTGAAAAAAGCAGTTTTTCATTTGAAATATTTTTTTTTTCTTTATGCAATTTCCTGCAGAGAGGTTATAATTACTAAATTTCATCATTAATCAGATTGGTAGTTTTTCTATTTAATCTTAGAGGGCAGTCATTATGCTCCAAAAAGGGTCCAGTGGCTTCTAGACGTATTTAAACACCTTAACCGTTTCACAAAAAAACAAAAACTAAAACATCACACCAACATAAAGTAGAGCATTATTGCACAACGACGAAAATTGTACATTTGTTCTTAGACTACCAAATCACTACTTTGTAGAACCACTTGTTGAGGCAGTTACAACCTATTGGAAAATGACTTTGCCAGCCTTGCACATTTTTAGAGATGACCTTTAGGGCTTTCCTGTTTCACTGCAAAGTTCTGCTTCAAGTCTTTTTTTTATCTAACCAATTTCCTTTGAAGATTGATCTGTATTTAGCTCCTCCATCTTCTTATCATCTGCGTAATAGAAGCATCCCAACAGCACGTTTATGCCACTACTGAGCTTGATGGCAGAACATCTTCTTTCTAATGTTTGTTGTGTTCTCTCTATTGTTTCTGGCAAACTGCTGATTTTTTTTTAAGCTTTCTTTTACCAATAGCTTCCTTCTACACACTATTTGATAACGGAATGAACAATGGAGTGCACAACATATTTTACTCACCCAAGATTTCGATCCACAATGGGTCTTCAACAGTAACATTAGACCTACTTGCTGCCTGGCTGAATGAACTTTTCCTTTAGTGGACTATTTATTTCAGTGGCTGCCCATGATTTAGGTGGTTTTCAGTTGTACCACACTCTGTAGCTTTCGGATAATGGATTCAAAATTCCTCTTTCTTGCAATACTAAAAGTCAATATTTATAGAATTACAGCATTTAAAAAATATATCATACAATAAATTGTGAGAATTTAAGCTTGCTTCAAGTAAATACTGTGAAATGAGAGGTGAATAAAAAAAAATCTACTTTAAACTGTAATATTGGGTCAAAACTGACTAATATTTGTACATTTTCCGGATTCAATCTAAAAAAGCAAAACAAAGCAAAACAAAAAAAACCCCACTTTCTTCTGTACAAAGGGAAAGTGTAAACAGTTTAATCACCACATTTCACTATAGGTAAACCATTAAACCATTCTTTCAGTGATGTGCACCTTAGAATTATGTCCACCATTTCAGCTTAGTTTGTTCGGACCCTAATGTATTCCCTCTGAAGGTTTCAGAAGACATTAGTCGTGGATGTTATTTGTATAAGAAAATACTTTTTTGTTATTCTTTAATGTTGCTCTGAGCCCCATAGCAACCTGCCTGACCAGTTTTCATTCAAGTTCTTTCAAAGTTTTTTGAACACAGAAATCTATTTGGAGGACTTAATTTAGCAATGGCCATCTTCAATCTACCATGTTAAAAAAACAACAACCATGTTTTTAATTTTTTTTATACTTGTCTCATCTAATGAATTTGTATAAGATTGTTTTTCTCATTTGTAACTTCTCTGTAAACTGCCTATAGCTAAAGAATGCAAAAGTGAAAAAAATGTAAACCAAACTAGGACAGGCAGTTAAAAAGGTTAATCGGACTTAAATACTGTAAATGAATGGGGGTTTGATCTTAACAAGGTTGACTGTAAGAATGTGCATCTGCAAAGTATTGGTTTTTATTTACTTACAATTACCCCAGAACATGTTTATTTGTCAGTTGAGTTGTGCATAATACGTAGAAAATATTATCAAACGACTTATTGTGGTCTTATTACATATAAATAATTTAACATATTTTTTCAATTATATATTTTAGCATTTTGGCAGAAAACAATCTTTTGCTTTTCTTTTGAGAGCTATTTTTTTTTTAGCAACAACTTTTAGCATTAAAAATGAAAAAACAGGATTCTTTTGACAATGTTGGCTATGAAGTTTGATGCATAATTTGATTAATAAAAAAAAACAGAAGCTCCTCAAGTAGCAAATAAGAAAGAAGAGCTGAAGTTAGCCAAAATGAATTTAGAGTTAAATATGGGCTTTGAAAAGGTAAAAACCAATAGCAAACCTGTATGTTGTCAAAGGACGATTTGTTGGTGACATCGTACAACAAGAGAAGAGCTGAAAGAAACAAAACAACGGTTAAATTGAAAACACAGTAAAAAAATATGTTAGGTCTTGTTAATCCCACCTCATTTGTACAGACCTCAGGGGAAAGGAAAATGAGCTAGATTGTAAACTAGATAATATGAATGTGAGCTGCTGCTTGATGTCAATCAGCAGTTCACAACCGAATCAGGCAAAATAAAATGCTGTTTATTGAATGACTATGGGAAATCGGGTGCATCTGTGCTGCAAACTACAGTCTTTACTAACTGGGAATTTACGGGGATGACCTCGGCTTTTATCTGTAGGAAAAATTTTACACTTTTAGAAAGGGCGACCATTACTGACCCATGAGCTGCAAGGGTTGGTGTTAGCCTAAACTTTGTTCATTATCAACATATTTTTATTGTTTCTGTTAATTTCTAAGTTTATTTAGACATTGTCATTTTGAAATCTCTATAAATGATTAAAAAGAAGAGCAACAGAATAAAATAAAATTTCAAACTTAGCCCACTGGTGGGTTGTTCTTTCTTTAGAAGACTCTGAGGGCCCCCCATGTGGTCCTTGAGGGCACCTTGGTGCCCATGGACACCGCGTTGGTGACCCCTGCTATAGACTCATCAATTTGTGGTACCGGAGTATGCTGATGAAGATTCTCAGTAATCCAGGTCATAGTCATTCCGTAAAAGTTCAAAAAATATCCACTGGACTTGGTTTCCAAGGTGGAGTGTAATTTCTTTGAAGTTTGAATATCTATGGTTAGAAAATGCTTACTTTAGCCCACTAAAAGTTAGAATCTCTACATTACTGGTTGTCTGTTGAAAGCATTTTTTTTTGCATACACCTGTTAAGGTCTTTTTAGTATCCCAAATTCTGATATAAACCAAGGCATGGTGGTTTTTAATGTTTCTATACACACCTGCATGTCTTCAAAAGTTATTATATTGACAAGGTTTGGTGTGTCAGACAGGGTATTCCCAAGACCTCAACTTTAGTTTTGCTTGATTCTTTTGGAGTTTTTGAGAATTTGATCCTATTACTCTTAAAGAACTGATTCTCTTAAGTCTCTAAATCCTCCCAACTGCCCATCAGACACTGTCTCTATTAATATAGTGGAAGGAGCAGTCGAAACCATTGAAGCCTGCCTCCTCTCCTTCATAAACTGATGTCTCAGGATGGACACTGTCCCTGCTGCCTTTAAACATGATGTGGTTGAGCCACCGCGTAAAAAAAAGCAATCTTGATTCATGCATTTCTTCTAATTTTCATTAAGTTTCATATCTGCCTTTTTTTGCTAAGGTTATGAAAAAAGTTCTCCTGTCACAGCCACAATATTACCTCTCGCTGCATGAAATTGCTGAAAAGTTTCAGTCAGAATTCAGGTCTCGTCAAAGCTTCTACTTTGCTCTATGTATATAATGATACCCTTACAGCATTATGTGCAAATAATTTAGTTGCGCTTGTGATGCTAGACCTTTGCCTTTGATATTGTAAACCATGCAGTCATTTTTTGTTGTCGGGAACAGTGGGTCGGGCTGCATAGTCCAGTGGTTTGTCTCATATCAAAGCAATAAATTGTTATCTTTTATGATTGATTTCTTCACATCTGAAATAGCTTCATTGTCCTTTGTTGTGCCACAAAGCTAATGTCTTTGACCAGTTCTGTATTCCCTCCAAATGTTGCCACTTGGACATCTCCAAACACAAGGTTTTCATTTTCATGCTGATGATGTACAATTCTACATGCCAATGAAACAAAACAACAAAAATACTCTATTTTGTAAAACCTTTTCTGACATCAGAGAGTGGTTGTCTCAAGATTATCTCCACCTAAATTAAAAGGAGGCTTAGTACTTTCTCTTAAATTCAGAGCAATCTTGTCAGGCCTTTAAGCTTTCTTCCCAACCTTTTGCTTTAGATATTTGAAACCTAGGTATAATTTTTGACATCATTCTGAAGTTTGATAAAGAGGTAAACTCAGTGGTCAAAGCATTCCTTTTTCTGCTAAGACTCCTATCAAAAGTCAAACCATTTTTATTCCAGTCTGGTCTGGAAAAGCCAATGCATGCATGCATTTGCTCAAGGTTGACTATAAAACTCTTAGTGCAGAAATTGGCCAGTCCATTCTTCATTAGCCTCAACTGGTCCAAATCACAGCTGCTTGTTTCCCTAAAATGCTCCTAAACATGTCAATTTCTCTCCTCTCTCTAGTGGCTTCCAGTTCACTTAGGATAGACGTTAAAGTCCTGCTGTTGGTTTTGAAAGTCACCTTACACCTGCATATTAGTCTCAATTTTAACTATTCATTTTAATAGTGTTGTGGCCATTTATGCTAAATTTTTGTAATTTGTTATTTCTACCAATTTTGTTTTTGTATTGGTATGTAAAATATATTAAAGTTAATTTAAAACCAAAATTTGTTATTTATTTTATTATATTTTGTATTGTTTGGAGTAAGTTGTTAATTGTTAGACCCTCCCATTAATTTGAGTGATTAAGAACACACCAGGTAATTGTTCTTTTTCTTTTCTTTTACAATAACTCAAGCTGGAAGTGTGTGCAAAAACAAAAATCACCTTTTACCACCCACGGCCTTTGTTGGTTATTATTATATTTATTTTTTTGTCGGAACAGACGGCTGCGATAACTGGTCTGTGCTCAGAGCTTTTAAACCTGCATACCCCAGGACTAGGGGCAAAAGATGCAGTGATCATTCTTCTACTCCTAGCTATTCAACTGTGCATGACATTTTCTTTTAGTTTATATTGTGATTTTATTCTTTATATATAACACTTTGCGCTTTTCTTGAATTGTTCTATCATGCATGTTTTAGATTTGTGTTCGTAGTAAGTTTTCTAAAGCACATTGTGCACCACCAATTGTACAAAAGTGATATATAAATAATCTTCAAACGATTGATTTATTCAATACTAATTGAAAGGTACTTCGAAGCTCTAAAGCAGAAATATGCAAAACAGTATTTTTTTTACACTTAATAAGTGGAGATTTCCTATTTTTTAAGTAGGGATTCCTTCATCCCTGATTGTCCAAACAAATCAGGTTTATTGAGCACTGTTGCGCAAATTAACCAGGAATTAGACCTTTTTCCACTTTGATTTATAGATATTTTAGATGAAAATTAATACATTTCTTTGGAAATTAAAATAGTTTTTCTCCTTACATTGCATAAAAATTTGAGTATATCATTTGCAGTAACACAGCTGCATTAATTACATATATAATTATAGAACCCCATACAGCACATGTAAAGAAAAGTAGTGTAAATTAACCACTGTGTACATTTTGCTCTTTTTTATATGGCTTTATTTGTTCGTATTTATAATAATGAAGGACAAAATTTTATATTAAAAACTTTAATCAGTACAAGTCAGTATTTATACTTTTTTGTTTTATTTGAAAAAAAGATACAAATTTTATCAATTAAAAAAACTAGACCATGATTAAAGTCCTTTAGCTACTCTGGGTTATTACCTCCACTATGCTCTGTTGTTTATAAACCATTTCCAAAGTTACTTCTGACGGGATTCATATCAAAATGTGAGAACTACCACTTAGAAGTTTTGTAAATTAACATCAAGATAAAAATGGTAGATAAGCCCTCACATCCAGTTGCACAGACAGAAATAGAGCAATATGTGATGACTGATTGCAGAACATCAAGGAGTCCCTGAAATCCTGAAAGCGTCTTCCTTCACTCTTTGAGCAGAGTTATAAAACATCATCACTTGATAAGCTCTGCAGAGTGGGAAAAAAAGGCTCACATCTAAAACTGTGAGTTTGAGAGATAAAGCTGGCATACATTTTTATTTAATTATTAATTTCAGCAAAAATGGTAAGGCTACTTTTGTCATAAAGTAAAAAAAAAAGAAATCAACACATGAAATTAGAAAGAAACCAACCTTAAATCTACTTACAGATTCAATGTATTTCAGTTAAATCTGGCTCCGTTTCAATGTGATTAAATGCAGTAAGATTGTGAGCATTGGTTTATGTTGTGGTTTGGGAAAAAAAAAAGGATAGTAAGAATCCTGTATTAACTGCATTCATATCTGCCAGTCTGAGCACAAATTGAAAAGCAGGGAAGAAAGCAGTCTATGTTTTGTATATGAAGTCCTAAAAAAAAAAAACATGAAAAAACAAAGAATAGATAACCTTCTACCTGAAACTTCGGAGGCTCAAATTACTGTAATCTTGTTATCAAGCTCAATCACAAACAAGCGGAAAAATATTTTAGTAAATAAACAAAATTTTTTTTTTTTAATGCAACATGGGAAGCAACCATGTGTACACACATAAGCAATAAGCACTATATGTCATAAAAAAAGAAAGTTAAATTCTAAATTGGAAACTCACCATGAGCATCACGATAGTAGGCATGAGTTACACTGCGAAAGCGCTCCTGTCCAGCTGTGTCCCAGATCTGGAGATAATATAAAAATGATCACTGAGTAGGAATAATTAAAAGGAACTTACTTTTGATAATAGTTAATCTATAAAAATAATAATACAGTGCTCTTTTACTTTTTTTTTTTTTCCCATTTTGCCAATATGGCTCTGGGAATTGATGTCCCAGAGCTAGATGTTAGCCCAACAGCTTTGCTTTCACAAGTAGACCATTATGACTGTTGCTATAAAGTTTCTCTTGGTACTTCTGTATGAAATTTTATTGAACATTATTTAGGGAGTAAAATCTTATGCAATGGAAAGAGAGGTGAAAAAGAAAAAAAAAAGAACTAAGGGGAGAGAGAGATAGAGACCAGAAAGAGTGCATGAAAATAGAGAAAATAAAACAAAACAGACAAAAATAGACAACACAGAAGATATACATTAACTCCTAGACTCCTGCATGAGATGAGAGGAACAGAAAACAGGCAACATAACAACAAGAAAAAGAAGACAAAAGACAACCAAAATAAACATCAAAAAAAGCTTTAAGAGCTGCGTGTTTCCCTTAGATATCCATGTGTGTCGAAGGCAATGAAATGGTTTTACTTTGATCTTGTGTGAGCCTGAACCCTCAGTTTGCTGTTTGACTGAAAAGTAAGTGCTCATTTTACTGGCTGGGAGGAGTTAAACTTGTAGTTATCATGATTTGAAAACATGAACATAAATTCTGTTAATTTAGACGGTATAATACTGTATATATGTCAAAAAAGTGCAGACGAAATAGCTCATCTCTTGATAATTCTAAACAGTGTGTCAGTGGGTGCCTTAGGACCCTCCCAAATTATTTAAAGCTAATTTGGAAGCATTTTTTGGTCATGGTTCTTATGCTCTTCTTATAGTTCCTGAGAAAAAACACCAGAGGAATACAGTAATGGCTCATTTGATTCTTCTCTTCCATGTTTCTTTACAGACTGTTTTCAAAAACCAGCAGAATATCTTTTTAGCTGAGGGTCTTTTTAAACAAAAACAGCTAACCAGCAAAGCAATATCTAAAGTTGAGCGTAGCTGCAATGTAACTTTTTTTGGATATGTTTATTACAAGAGTCACTCATAATAAATGCTATATATGATTTAAATGAATGATTTAGTTAAATTAGTATTTTTATTTCTATAAAGGCCTAGTTTGATAAAAGTGCAAAAGAAAATAACTGGATTGAATATGTTTCTAAAACAGATAAAGAAATCAGCATTTTCTGGACCATTAATCAAAGTTATGTGATCTAGTGACCCATACTAAACGAATTAAAGTACAATATAAATCATTATTAAATAACTGTTTTTTTTTTTGCCATTGCTGCTCAAAGCAGTGAAAGCTTCTAATTTATTTGAGCCAAACCATGTACTGTAGGCCTGCCCTAATTGACAATTTTGGATAAAATATCATAGCATTTTTTTTCCTCTTGCAGGCGCACTTCTGTTTTGATCTATAAATGCTTTCATCTACAGAACTTATCATCATCTAAGCTTTCTTTTTGATGGTAAATTAAAAACCTTACCTGCAATTTCACCTTGACTCCATCAATGGTCATCACTTTATTCTAGGAATTAAAGCAAAAAAACAAAAGACATTTAAATGTTTCCAAACAAGTGACATATTTCTGTTTCTTCTTGTATCTTGCTAAAGGTCTCATCCTGTCATGCTGTCATTCACCAACATGTACGCACTGCACTTTCCATCAATACTGCATGTCTCTCCACCTCACTTGGACCCCTGTAGATGAAGCATGGCCTATTTTAATTCCTCTGGGGAATTTGCCCCCTCTTTTTTCACCTCGTTCTTTCTCACAGTCAGTGGTTTCTTCTTCTGCTTTAGAAGTATTTGTAACCTCTAAACTGTTTCAAATTGTTTTACTTTGCAACTGCTAAATTAATTCTAATTTACTGGTCTTTTAAGCAACACTGTGTAACCTTTTACAGAAGTATTAGCTAAATTTGAGATGCATTAAGTGATTTTCCGGTCCATGCATAGCACTTGGTGCATATGGATGCGGGCTGTGGTTCTCAAAAACTTGCCTATGTGAATTGAAAGGGTGGGATCCATCGCAGAATAATTCATGTGACCCAGAGAACGTCCTTACAGCATTCTGAGCTCCCCTTAAGCAAGCTAACAAATCTAAAGGTTGTTGGGAAATTCAACCTGTAGAGACTCACACAGAGAAAAGGTGCAATTGCAAAAGTTTTGTTCAATATAATTGATTTGCAAGTAACACACTCAGGTTGGTTAAGATTGACTATCTAAGGAAAACCAGTTGAATGCATGAACTCATTGACCCTCTGCAATCACTCACACAGAGTATGTATGTAGCGACAGTGGAGAGGAAAACTCCCCTTTAACAGGAAGAAACCTTCAGCAGAAACAGGTGCAGTGTAAGCGGCCAGCTGCCGAGGTCGACTAGAGTTCTAGAAGATAGAAACAGATTTATAGATGTTGACATAATGAAATCAGATCTTTGGCCAGCAGAAGACTGATGCTGAAAATCAACATTTGCTCGAATGGGTACTCTAGGAAGAAGATTAGAATAGTCTTCCCCCCGGGGCCCGAACAATGGCGGTGAAATAAGTTGGAGGATGAGAGGGTCTAAGAGTGGGTTACGAGAGAGGAAGAATATGGGGTGGAGGTGGGTCAAAGTTCGGCTGAAGCACTGAACGGGGAAGCAGGGCCTTCGTCTTAATAAAGAGCATCTTTAGAAATAATTGGCTTTGGAGAGGATGTGGTCCATCATGGATTGGCTGAATTGGCTGAGCGAGAGATGTCAGGAGGTGTTCCAGGTAAGGCTGATTAAGAGTCTTCCAGGTTGAATTTTCACTCACGTTTTATTAAACCATATATAACACTTACCGGATCAGCCATATTTTTGGTTCTCTTGTTTAGGATTTAATCCAGAGGGGTAAATGTGGTCTTTTCTTTACAAGCATCTCAATGACCTCTCAGTCTGCTGGTCCAAACTGGTCTTTTATTAGATTCCAAGACATAAAGGTAGACTGTTTAATTTTATAACAGTTTAATGTTGCCAGTTGCTTTCAGGGAAGCTAAACTTGGTGATTACAGGTTTAAGGCCCTTTGTGGCTAAAAGTTACACACTGTTGCTTTAACGTGAAAGAGAGAGGTAATGTCATGCATTATTGTAGAGTGGGATAATGATAGTTTTGTTTTACAAAATGTATGTTAAACTGTGAATTGGAATTTCTTTTTATAAAATCATATGGCTCAGATTTACTTCAGAATAGAAAAAAATAGCTTAGTATTTTTTCGAAATTTACAGAACCAAAAGGTTCTAATGCTAACATCTTGGAATCAAATACCACATAATACCAACAGCAGTCTATTGAAGTAAAACAGAAAACACATTTTTTACTGACAGTTTGTGTCTTTGAATATTACACCGCTTAAGCAGTGAAACCATGGTGCACTTCACATCTAAACAAACAAGAACAAAGAAGAAGTTTACAGCATGGTGGATGTTGTCGGAAAATTTTGATTTCTCCTCTATTACATATTTATTTATGCTATTTACTCACCATAAAACTTTTCACTCAGTCTGTTTCACCTTCAAGAACACACCATTCTCTGCGGGATGGTGTTTGTAGACCAGACATAGCTTATTCCCATAACAAATCAGATTATTTATCAAGGTTTATTCATAACATGTTACTGTTAACCAAAGTGGGTTAATTTGTTTTGACTCTGACTACTTAAATTGTTACTCAATTGTTGTAAGTAAGGGGGAACAAATGCTGCTCATGCAGAAAAGGGCTGAATGCTGCCATAAAGGCTGTTTGATGAACTGTTCTCTCTTTGCAAAGATATGAATAAATGTGACAACTGAGTGAAATCCATCGATCTCCATTTATTTTTAAAAGGATGGAAAGTTGAATACTTTTTTTCCCACTACAGTGGACTAACTCCTATAAGAGGTTAAGAGACTGAGGGTCTGATCTTAAAAAGTTTTGGACATATTAAAAAACATGCAAACTTTTTTGCACACAGTGTAGATGTTCAAAGAAGTTCAAAGTGATTTGTGTTTGCAATTCAGCAGGAAATGCATGCAAACATTTTTTTCGTGTGTGCCTGCAATAGTAACGTATACCAGGTATCATATATCAGATCATATTTTAATGACTTAACCCTACAAATGTATGGGTGAAGGATATGCAAATATAAATAATTAACATAGGCAAAGCAATTTTATCTGGAAATTACTGTGGCCTTAGTTTTTGCTCAGTCATTTAGGATGTTTGAAAGTCAGGTCCAAAATTAAACACAATGTGCACACAAAATAAATTTTCTAAGTTTTATGATTATTTCATCCTTTATTTTTTTTTTTTACATTATTTCTCTCATGAGTAAGGGTTTTGCAATATAAAATGTGAATCCTAGAGGTGAATAAAACATTTGACGCAATAATGTTTTATTTACCTCTTGGATTTGCATTTTCAATTTGTTTGAAAACATTCCAATTGCTCTAAACCAGCCAAAAGCTGATCTGACTGGAGTCCAAGGAGATCAGAGTTGCTTTGAGAAGCTACAGGGAGAAGCAAATAAGCAGCTTGTCAGCAGATGGTCCCATAATTGGCTTGGAATGGTCCCCCTTTACCCTGAACAGAATCTTTGATTGACAGACAACAATAATAACCTCTACTTCCACCTCTAAACTCCCATCAAACCATGTTGTGCGCATCACACTTTGACACAACAGCTCTCAAACCTACAGCTTGGGCTTAGACCTCTGCCAACCACCCCTCATGTTTGCTTACATCCTTCAGTCCCTCTGAATGTAATGTTCCACCCCTGCTTTAAATGCTTCAACATCAAACTGATCCCAAAGAAACACCACATCAAGTGACTGCATGGCTACAGGGTGGTTGCCCTGTCATATGTGGTCATGACATCTTTTCAGCAACTGGTGTTGAAGCATTTAAAATATACCATATCCCCCTTGCTAGATCCACTGCACTCTGCTTACTGGGCAAATAGGTCAGTAGATGATGCAGTCAAGACAATCACTATCCAGAGACGTACTCCAGGATACTTAGATCTACCTTCAACACCATGAACCCAGATATTCTCCCAGTGTCAGTTGCCACATATCAGTAGATTATTATTTCCATCAGTGACAGGCAGCACATCCTTGGTCATGGCACCTTCTTTCCCACAACAACCATTTGGCCTGCTGCCAAGCTGCTACTCATCTTTATTTATCTCTCCAATGTTTCTCCATCACTGTGAGGATTAGTTCATTCAAAAAACAGGACATGTTCAGACCATAGCCACTTACCTCCTATCCAAAAAAGATAAGTGATGTTCCTAATAGCTGGCCTGATACTTGGGCGGTGGGTTTTTGTTTTGTACAGTAAGAAAATCATAACAGCCTGTAGCTGCAGATGAACAGACCAAGAGAAATTGTAAATGGTAAACTGCAGCGTTCCAGAAACTGAACCTTTAGGGACATCATGATTGAGGTAATGCAGTTGCAGAAATTACAATTCCAGGTCCATAGTTATAATTTACATTTTGCATGAGAGTAAAACCTTTACTTCTTTATATTGCATAGATTTTTTACACACACATGCACACACATATCTCTTAAAGATTAGGAGTCAATATTATTCCATCTAATATACAACCCCCCCCCCCCCCCCAAAAAAAAAAAACAACGTAAACTGATACCATTTTAAAAAGTTTCCCAATAAAGTAATTTTCATTGTTCTTGGATATTTCTGAAAAGATTTGCTACAGACTTTTTATTCTCTAATACCCAAGATGAGACCAAAGGTGCTAACTCCAGACAAAATTTAGACTTGGATAGTCTTTGTCAACGTGTGGGGCTGATTTACTTCTTCCAGATTTGCAACGAGGAAAAAGGGCATACATATTAATGGGAGAATTTGAGCTCCAAGCTAGGCTGTAAGTGGAGTCTGTGAGGAATCTCACAAGACAAGCTCCTTGTTGTTGTTGCTAAAAACAACCCAAAATGTGCTTAGAGGCTTCATGAATATTTAGTGACCCAGAAAAGAGTGTGATGATCACATCACACTCGGGATTTTGGGGGGGATTAGTTCAGCATGATTGCTTTAATAATAATGCTGAATTTGTCAAGAGTAAAATCTTCAGCTTAGACCTGCTGATCCCATGACAGAAGGACTGAAAGGATAATATAAAACTTCTGATGATGTTGAGCAACTCCCACTTCAAATGATGCATCATTGATTCTCCATTTACATGATTCTTGGCTAGCAGTTTTTAATTGTACATAGAAAGCACGAATTTTAGGCAATGGTACCGTAATTTCCTGAATTGCTGACAAGACCTTCTAAGATAAGGCACCTTCAAATACAAACTCCTCCACTTAGCAGCAGCACACTTGATGTTAGTACTTAAATGTTTCTTGTTTTCCAGTACATGTACAAGACTGAGAACATATCCTCAGAATAGATTCACTCAAACACCACTCTGCATGGATCATAAATTACAGATGCTGGAGGAGCTTTCAGAAGAACCCGTCGAAGTGTGAGACTTTAAAACTTTAATGGCTGCAGC